TTCTAATATTTGAGGGGTGGTTTCACCCCCTTAGAATTCGAGTTTCGAAAAATCTCTTATCGAATCTCTACACCCTAAAGTCAATCCGTTTTCCAAAAATCAGCTTTTTAACCGTTTTTTAAATAACAAATATTGTAATATTTGAGGGGCGTTTTCACCCTCTTGGAATTTGAGATTCGAGAAACCCCTCCTTATCGATCCTCTACACCCCACAGTCAATCCGTTTGAAAAATATACGTGTACAAGTTTTTCCGAAAACTAACCGGTTTTTAAATACAAAAATATTCTAATATTTGAGGGGTGGTTTCACCCCCTTAGAATTCGAGTTTCGAAAAATCTCTTATCGAATCTCTACACCCTAAAGTCAATCCGTTTTCCCAAAAATCAGCTTTTTAACCGTTTTTAAATAACAAATATTGTAATATTTGAGGGGCGTTTTCACCCTCTTGGAATTTGAGATTCGAGAAACCCCTCCTTATCGATCCTCTACACCCCACAGTCAATCCGTTTGAAAAATATACGTGTACAAGTTTTTCCGAAAACTAACCGGTTTTTAAATATAAAAATATTCTAATATTTGAGGGGTGGTTTCACCCCCTTAGAATTCGAGTTTCGAAAAATCTCTTATCGAATCTCTACACCCTAAAGTCAATCCGTTTTCCAAAAATCAGCTTTTTAACCGTTTTTTAAATAACAAATATTGTAATATTTGAGGGGCGTTTTCACCCTCTTGGAATTTGAGATTCGAGAAACCCCTCCTTATCGATCCTCTACACCCCACAGTCAATCCGTTTGAAAAATATACGTGTACAAGTTTTTCCGAAAACTAACCGGTTTTTAAATATAAAAATATTCTAATATTTGAGGGGTGGTTTCACCCCTTAGAATTCGAGTTTCGAAAAATCTCTTATCGAATCTCTACACCCTAAAGTCAATCCGTTTTCCAAAAATCAGCTTTTTAACCGTTTTTAAATAACAAATATTGTAATATTTGAGGGGCGTTTTCACCCTCTTGGAATTTGAGATTCGAGAAACCCCTCCTTATCGATCCTCTACACCCCACAGTCAATCCGTTTGAAAAATATACGTGTACAAGTTTTTCCGAAAACTAACCGGTTTTTAAATACAAAAATATTCTAATATTTGAGGGGTGGTTTCACCCCCTTAGAATTCGAGTTTCGAAAAATCCCTTATCGAATCTCTACACCCTAAAGTCAATCCGTTTTCCAAAAATCAGCTTTTTAACCGTTTTTTAAATAACAAATATTGTAATATTTGAGGGGCGTTTTCACCCTCTTGGAATTTGAGATTCGAGAAACCCCTCCTTATCGATCCTCTACACCCCACAGTCAATCCGTTTGAAAAATATACGTTTACAAGTTTTTCCGAAAACTAACCGGTTTTTAAATACAAAAATATTCTAATATTTGAGGGTGGTTTCACCCTTACAATTCGAGTTTCGAAAAATCCCTTATCGAATCTCTACACCCTAAAGTCAATCCGTTTTCCAAAAATCAGCTTTTTAACCGTTTTTTAAATAACAAATATTGTAATATTTGAGGGGCGTTTTCACCCTCTTGGAATTTAAGATTCGAGAAACCCCTCCTTATCGAACCTCTACACCCCACAGTCAATCCGTTTGCAAAATATACGTGTACAAGTTGTTCCTAAAACTAACCGGTTTTTAAATACAAAAATATTCTAATATTTGAGGGGTGGTTTCACCCCCTTAGAATTCGAGTTTCGAAAAATCTCTTATCGAATCTCTACACCCTAAAGTCAATCCGTTTTCCAAAAATCAGCTTTTTAACCGTTTTTTAAATAACAAATATTGTAATATTTGAGGGGCGTTTTCACCCTCTTGGAATTTGAGATTCGAGAAACCCCTCCTTATCGATCCTCTACACCCCACAGTCAATCCGTTTGAAAAATATACGTGTACAAGTTTTTCCGAAAACTAACCGGTTTATAAATACAAAAATATTCTAATATTTGAGGGATGGTTTCACCCCCTTAGAATTCGAGTTTCGAAAAATCTCTTATCGAATCTCTACACCCTAAAGTCAATCCGTTTTCCAAAAATCAGCTTTTTAACCGTTTTTTAAATAACAAATATTGTAATATTTGAGGGGCGTTTTCACCCTCTTGGAATTTGAGATTCGAGAAACCCCTCCTTATCGATCCTCTACACCCCACAGTCAATCCGTTTGAAAAATATACGTGTACAAGTTTTTCCGAAAACTAACCGGTTTATAAATACAAAAATATTCTAATATTTGAGGGGTGGTTTCACCCCTTAGAATTCGAGTTTCGAAAAATCTCTTATCGAATCTCTACACCCCTAAAGTCAATCCGTTTTCCAAAAATCAGCTTTTTAACCGTTTTTAAATAACAAATATTGTAATATTTGAGGGGCGTTTTCACCCTCTTGGAATTTGAGATTCGAGAAACCCCCTCCTTATCGATCCTCTACACCCCACAGTCAATCCGTTTGAAAAATATACGTGTACAAGTTTTTCCGAAAACTAACCGGTTTTTAAATACAAAAATATTCTAATATTTGAGGGGTGGTTTCACCCCCTTACAATTCGAGTTTCGAAAAATCCCTTATCGAATCTCTACACCCTAAAGTCAATCCGTTTTCCAAAAATCAGCTTTTTAACCGTTTTTTAAATAACAAATATTGTAATATTTGAGGGGCGTTTTCACCCTCTTGGAATTTGAGATTCGAGAAACCCCTCCTTATCGATCCTCTACACCCCACAGTCAATCCGTTTGAAAAATATACGTGTACAAGTTTTTCCGAAAACTAACCGGTTTTTAAATACAAAAATATTCTAATATTTGAGGGGTGGTTTCACCCCCTTAGAATTCGAGTTTCGAAAAATCCCTTATCGAATCTCTACACCCTAAAGTCAATCCGTTTTCCAAAAATCAGCTTTTTACGTCGAACGATTTAAGCAGGATCGTGATTAATCAATGACCAGATTTTTCCAAACGCCCTGTATACATTTTTAAAAAATCTTAAAATACGTAGAAAAACAAAATAAAATATACGTTTAAGCGTTTTTTCGGAAACTTGACCGTTTTTTAAATAAAAAATATTGTAATATTTGAGGGGTGGCTTCACCCCCTTGTAACTGGAATTTCGAAAAATCCCTTCTTATCGAACCTGTACACCCTAGAATCAAATTGAGCTTCTTACGTTGAGTGGTCTGAGCAGGATCGTGATTAATCAGTGAGTCACTTAAAGATTTTATATATTAGTATAGATTAACTGATCGATCTTTATTGCCGTTCATTTTATTTCTTTCATTGAAGACTATCCAAGCTCTCTGGAGAAACTGGAAAATAATTCCTCAAACTGAATATCTTTACGAACATGCAGGTACGTCATACTTCATCTCCGTTCCAGTTCTTTCCATTACTCGGGGGGCAATTTGCCTTTGTGTCAGAAACTTCGGAAATATTGCAAACCGTTCCGGCAATGGATATTGAAAAAGTTTGGTCGGGTTTCCAGTTTCATAAGGCGAAGGGAAAGGTGTTATGTTAAAGATGATGCGAATGGAAATAGGATTAACTTTAAAAAGTAGTTAAAGTTGCTAGTTAAAACTTAGCAAATATAACGGGATCTTCAGAATTTCGTTTGTAATCTATGTAAATTATAATTAAAATGAAAATAGAGTAGTCTGATAGTTATTTTTTACACAAGACGATAAAATGGCATTTTATCGTCGAGCGAAAAGATTAATTCACGAGCGATGAAATCGCGAGTGAATTAATTTCGGGAGATGATAATGCAATTTTATCGTCGTGTAAGGGAGCGGGGGGCACGTTGTTACACGGGTAAGAAGTTACACGCCTTTTTTACCAAGATTTTACCAAGAACTCTTTAGTGGTCATAAGTGGACTCATTTGTTTTCTTATAACATCGTGCATTACATAAAAATGATCAGTGACCCGCCAAGCGCCAAGCTGCTAACTTGTGTGCATGTGTCTCGATTTGAACCAAGTAAGTAAACCTTTGAATAAGAAGACTAAGGAAGGAGCATAATGCTATCCATGTATTCATGCATGGTGGGCGGAAAAAGCACCATAAAAGCACTCTAGGGTGGGGATCCTTGACAGTGCTGTTTGACGATTCATTTGACACATTTGAATTTGATTTGAAATTTTGTGGATTTGTCAGTCTTTACGGAGCTTATTTTATGTTATTTGTTATTTATTCTACTACTGATAGTTGTATAAAGGTAGTAAATCTAGATGGAAATTGTGGCAGAACTTAAATTAACAGTGACACTATCGCGATTTATCGAAAAAGACTCTAAAATAGTTGGTTGTGTAGCGTGCGGTAGATCTCAGCAAAAATTGAGTGAAATAATGGAACAACTTTTCGCTAGTAAGTGACTATATAATATACATACGTGTAGTAAACCGATCATTCATGAAATTCACTTAAATTAACTAAATTATATATTTTTCTTGCATTTTAGCTTTTATTTATTACTTGTCAAAGATTAGATGTCAAAGAATTTAGATACGTTAATTTGACTTACCTGCTTCAGTAGCGTATCGGATGTTTGTGTTAATAAATACTTATTATAACTTACCTATTTTTATTAGAATTATATATTTTTATAACAATTTTAATAACTACCAACATTTATTCGCACCGTAAAATAAAACAACAAATTATTGAGTCTACCCCACGTCTACCCTACATCATAGTTTTACATTTTTTAAATAAAATTAGAACGACACTGATAAACCGGAATTTAAGTCGGCCATATTTGAGGCCCATCGCGGTGTACCTAAGATTTTTGATATGCTCCTTCCTTAGTATTCTTATTCAAAGAAGTAAACAAATCCTTTACGAAATTTTTGATTCCTGATGTCTATATTTTTTATTTTCTCAAAACTTTTTAACTCGAACATTCATAATATATTATGGAAAGAGGATTAGCTTTAAAATGTAAAATCATAAGATTTTTCTACCTTACCTCATTCTGGTTATGAACACTTGAGCAAAATCCAGAGGCGTCCAGGATATTCCCAAATCGGAATGCTGGATTTCTCGCCATCCAGAGTATTTTACTAATGTACAGGAAGGGGACGACACATCTGAAAGAGCAGAAAAAAAGCATATTAAAATAATTTAATCGATCTAGATATTGGAGTTCTCTAGAAACTTCTAATGCACGCTCAGCGTGGGACACCCTGTATATGATTGATTTTCAGTGAACATCAATTATTACAAATAAGCTATAAGCGTGCGTGAGCTGCCAATTGCGGAAAATGACGAACTAAAACTAATTTATTTAAAAATATACTGGGTAAATCAGCAATAAGTGCAAATATTTCCAGGATTGATAGATCTCGATAAAAGAAACATATTTTCTCTTTACCGTTTTTCAAATAAGTCCAAAATAACCAGATATTTTACTTTGAAAATTAAAAAATCTTCTTGAGGTAATTTGATAATAAAATAATTTACGCCATAATTATTTTTTTAATATAATGTAAAAAACAGTTTATTAAATTTAATTTACCCTGACGAATCGACTCTGTCTGACCGGTATAAAAACACTTTGCCGCTTAATTCCTCAATTATTGGTTCTAGCGTTTGCAGGAGAGAATTTAATCTCTGCAGTCAAAACGTGAAACTGCAAAATCCCCGGATTCTCCCAATGCGTACCCGGTATTTGATTGAAATCGGAAGCTTAGAGCTTATGTTGGTAAATTAATCAACTAGATCTGGTATTATTTTCTAGGAATAGGAGGAAAAATTTAAATTTAACCTTGATCTAATGATCATATTATACATACAGGGTGGTCCGAACTGTATTACGGAAACTTCGGCAGCATATTCTGCAGATAAAAATAAGTAAAAAAGTTCGTATAATGGTATGTCATAAAGTGCTTAGTTTCGGAGATACAGGGTGCCGAAGTTTCATTTTTATTTCGATTTTTTCCAAATAAATTTCTGAATTAACGTCAATATTTAGATGAAAATTGGTGTCTGGGAGTTTTTTGACATGAGAAATTTGATTTAGATGTCAAAATGACTCCTATCATTCATGTGGCGCCCTTTACAAGTAGGAGTCATATTGATATCAAAATAAAATTTCTCATGTCAAAAAACTCCTAACCACCATTTTTTGTCCAAATATTGACGTTAGGTACTTTAGAAATTATTCGGAAAAAATGAAAATAAAAATGAAACTTCTACACCCTGTATCTCCGAAACTAAGCATTTTAGGACATACATTTATACGAACTTTTTTACTTATTTTTATCTGCAAAATATGCTGCCGAAGTTTCCGGAATACAGCTCGGACCACCTGTATAGTTATTTTTTTTAGTTATTACCTCTTGAAAAAAAAACTAAGGTTTTCTGCACTAGAAGAAAATCTACAAAATAAAAAAAAATATTTCTTGTAAACACCACTGGTTTTTCCTCCGCTTAACTTTAAAAAACACAAAACACACTTAATAACATGCAAAATGCAAAAGCAATTCGCAAATATTCATCATTTTTCAGAACAGATTATTTGACATAATTTGTGATATAAATAATAACCTATAATTTGGTAAGAATTTGTCTCAAAAATCTTAAATTAAGTTCATAACATCTGCGTCCGTGCTTCCTTTATCGTTCCGTCGCTCCAATAATATTGAAATATGATCTTTCATTTTTAAAATAACCCAATAAGACTGGTTAAAAACTACAAGAAACGACGAATGACGTATGATTAATATACAGGGTGGTCCGAACTGTATTCCGGAAACTTCGGCAGCATATTAAGTAAAATAGTTCGTATAAATGTATTTTAAAAGACTTAGTATCGGAAATACAGAGTGTAGAAGTTTCATTTTTATTACGATTTTTTGCAAATAATTTCTAGTAACATCAATATTATATGAAAACTGGTGTCTGGGAGTTTTTTGACATGAGAAATTTGATTTTTTATGTCAACTCCTACTTGTAAAGGGCGCCAGCTACTACTTTTTTAAACCGGTTACTATTTTTAACCAGTTTGAAGAATAATAACTTTTTGTCCGTACCTGTATAAAACTACTGAGTAAAAAATGTACATTTATGACATTTTTTACGTAAAAAAGTCTCTTGGTAAAAATCGCTACGAATAATGGTTCTCGAGATATTTGGAACCGAAATTATCAATACCTGTCATCATTGACATAAATTAAACATGTTGACTAAATAGTTATTAGATTGATATCATAAATTTGAAATGTTTTTGTGCCAAGTTCAAGAGAATTTTATCGTCAATTTTTTCGAAGAAAAATTAATGATTCATTTAAAAAAAAGTTCCCAAATTTATCATTTCAGTGAAATAACTCTACTACTCAACGTGCATATTTTTTGTCAATAATGACATGTTCATTGACTAATTCCATTCTAAATATCTTGAGAACGGTTGCTCGTAGCGATTTTTACCAAGAGACATTTTTTACATACAAAATCACGGAAATGTATATTTTTTCACTCAGTAGTTTTATACATGTATGGACCAAAAGTTATTACTCTTCAAAACAGTTAAAACACATGCAGGTGCTGCCTCCTACAAATAGGAGTCGTATTGACATCAAGCTCAAATTTATCATGTCAAAAAACTCCCAAACACCAATTTTCATCCAAATATTGATGTTAAATCAAAAATTATTTGGAAAAAATCGAAATAAAAATGAAACTTCTACGTCCTGTATCTCCGCAACTAAGAATTTTAGAACTTCTTTACTTATTTTTATCAGCAGAATATGCTTCCGGAGTTTCCGGAATACAGTTCGGACCACCCTGTATAAACCCATCCATATTTAATTTAAAAAAATATCAGAAACTTTTTTTAGTGAAATAAAAGGATTGATATGGATGTCATCTACCTTTTTTTCTGCCATCATCTGTCGAAATCTTACCTGAGTCGTAAAACAGAGTATATCGACATTTCTACGTAAATATTTTGTAAAAATGTCATTTATTTTTTCTCATTGTCGAAGTCATGCACGCTGAAAAATATTATATAAAACATTTTACCTCATTTTTCTTTCTTTTTAAGTGTTTGCATTTCCTTTTACCTCATTTCTTTTCCTTTTTATAACGCACAAAAACAATTTCTCTCCACTTCTGGATTTCCACTTTTGAGAAATGGCCTAAGGTGGGTTTTTTTGTTTTACGGCGGTATTTGCCCTTTAGACTTGGAACAAAAAAATGAAATATTTCCATGTGTGGTTGTGTTCGTCGCAATGGCTGGTTATTTATGAAAGTTAACCCTAACGCTGCATTTAAAAAGGAGCAGTTAAAATTTTAAATTTGGAAAGAAAAGAAATGACAAAAAAATATTTTAAAGTAATAATAATTTTAAAGTTATAATTATTAAATTATTGGCAGCATGGCAATTTCTCAGGTTTTTTTTTTCTGTGGGAAAGAGAATCTTGCATAAGACACCCAGCACTAATAACAGTAAACTACTGTCCTTAGTGCCGGGTAGTGCCGGATTCTTACCGGCTAAAAAAAACCCACACTTCCCTAACGCTGATCATGGTGGAAACCGCTTCCGCATTACTTCGCCATAATAGCTGTCTGTTTACTGTCTTCTTATATCATTTTCCTTTTCCTCTAATATTTGTCTTAGTATCCCTGCAGTTAGTTTCCACATTTCCTCTGTCCCAGTGAGGTATTTCATCATATTTTCCACATTGAAAACTGAGCCGGTATGAGTTTTATAATCATTACGAATGTAGTCCCATCTCGTACATCTAAACAGTGTATGTTCTGCGTCATCGCTATTTCCACAGTAGTTGCAACTATCTCGAGTCCCGTTTCTTTCTTTCCGTTAGATACTTCATAAAGCAACCATGTCCCAATAGAGCTTGCGTGACACAGTAATCAGTCTCTCCGCATGGCCTGGATATCCATTGCCTAATATCAGGAATCAAATTATATGTCCATCTTCCTTTTGTTCCTCTCACCCATCTTTCCTGCCACTTGTCGAGTAGGTCCCCTCTTGCGATTTGCTTCTGTACTCCATTGTCAATTTCCTTCCTTTCCTCTATTAATAGGTCTATGGGTGGGACGCCTGCTATTACGCCTGCTGCCTCTGTGGAGATTGTTCTGTACGCACTTGCAATTCTGATAGAAGTAAGTCTTTGGATCCCCGCGAGTTTTTTTGTTCTGCTTTTATTACTCGTTACGGTGTGCCAGAATGGAGCCGCATAGAGTATTTGAGAGTGTATTACGCTACCTAATATTTTTCTTTTGGAGGATCTTGGTCCCCCAATATTTAGCATGATGCAAGACAAGGCTGTTAGTGTTTTTCCAGATTTCTGTATAGTTCGAATTATGTGTTCCGTAAATTTTAATTTAGGGTCCAGCCATACTCCTAGGTATTTGATAGCTTTTGATGGAATAATATCCACGCTCTCTATAGAAAAGCATATTGGCTTCACCTTTCGTTTTGTTGTTAATATTATTGCCTCTGTTTTCTGTGGTGCAAGTTTAAGCAATTTGCTTTCCATCCAGTTTGAAATTCGTTGAAGGCCGGTATTATCTTTGTTCATGAGAATTTTTTCAGACTTCTCCACTATTGTCATGGCTATATCATCGGCAAAACCGATTAAAGATTTATTTTTATATTTAGGCATTTCCATTCTGAGTAGGCTATCATATAAGATATTCCACAATGTGGGTCCAAGTATGGAACCTTGGGGTACACCACTGCTCAAGGGTATTTCTTTGGTCTCACCTTCCGCTTCTATAAGTTTCCTATCCTTAAGGTATGATGCTAGGAAAGCTATTAGGCCCTCGTCTATTTTTCTCTGTCTAAGACTCTCTAATATTACTTGCCATGACGCGCTGTTGAATGCGTTTTTCACATCCAAAGTTATTACCGCGCATAGTCTTCGGTGAGCAGCAGAAAAATCCTGTGCCTCCTCCGCTATTTTGAGTACTTCTACTAAGGCATCCGTTGGTTGTTTCCGTTCCCTAAAGCTAAATTGTCTTTCTGAGAGATCCCCGGTGCGAGCCAATTCTTTCTTAAGCCGGTTTAATATCATATGTTCTAGAAGTTTACCTTCGACATCCAGTAAACATATCGGT